AGAGATTATTTTGTGAAATTTAAAGCAAGTTGATTTCTTTAATCACTAGCTGTAATACCTTGTTTAGGTACCAAGTATGATGTAGATCATTATAATGCTCTGCTGAAAGTCTATCTTCAGAACAAACATACATTTTCTCCAGCTCAATTTTTGACCAACATGGAGGAAGCTAATGTGCAACCCAATCAGGTAAGCATTCTTTTAAGACCTCCCAAGTCTAGTACTACTATTTAAATTGACCACAAAAGATCATTTTTCCCTGTTTCCTCCACAGGTAACATACGAAAGCTTGATTGCTGCCTATTGCAATGAAGGTGATATTGAAGGTGCCAGGTATTGCTTTGCACTTATTGAAATGACCTTGTAACAAAACATTTTGCTTCTTATAACACCGATCTTTAGTTCCTAAACCTATGTGAGAAAATTTTGATAATTGGAGCTAAGGGAATTGGATATGTGGTAGGCACTGAACAGAAATCACTTAGATGCCAACGTAAGGTACACCTAAGCTAGATAAGTAAAGGTCCTGTTCAGTTTACACCCCAGGGAATTATGCAATTACGCACCCGTGTAATTTTGCACATAAAACATAGGACTGTGCATAATCTCGTAATAATGCATACATCCCCAGGGTGTAGCTGGTGAGTGGGAAGGGGAGCTCCTGCTTGCAGGAGGTGGGGTGGTGGTGGAGGTGCGTGTGGGCCTTCTGGCCACCTCCCCCACCTCCCTCCCATGGTGCACAGCCCCGGCCACTGGCAGCAGCAGCTGGTGGCAAGCCATTGGGGCGCTCCTGGCAGGGTCAGGCAGAGCCCCTGGTGGTATGCGGCTGCAAATGAGTGCCTGGGGCTGCATGTGGTTCCTGCCTGCAGTGCTGTAAGCCCCACATGCTGGCACAGAGCCAGCCCAGTCTGGCCCAAAGGCGTGCACCAGCACGCTGAACTGGGCTGGCTCTGTGCTGCCACACGCAGCCCCCCCAGAATTTGCCAGAGCTGCGTGCCACTGACGACTGCCTGCTGTGGCCAGGAGGATGCCAAGGGCATGCTGGAAGTTGGGGCTGTGTTTAGAGGGAGTGCATGAGGCAGGGCTGCCATGGTGGTGGGGGATGTGGCAGCGGGAGCTGTGCACACTGAGGGGCATGTGGTGGGGGAGCCCACAGCCACTCATACCCCCCACTCCTTCACAACCCCCCCCCACACACCCATACCCCTCCATACCTTCACAACGCCCCTGCCCCATACACCTGGTACCCATACCCACCCACACACAAGTACCTGCATATATTTCTAAAGAAGGTTCAAATTGTGTTATATTTAGTTTAATTTGTAAAAAAGACATTTAATTAAGTTTGCGTAATTTTGAGTTTTTCTATGCATGTGTACCAGTTTATTCAGAATGTAATAGTAGTAGATTGTTTTGTTTTTCCTAAGTTCAGCAAGGAGGAATATTAGGTTATGAAGAAATAAGTTACCTTGTAGGAAAAATGCTAAGCTGTTGGGTATGCTTTTTTTACTACCCATGATTGTTAGCAGCTGATTTATGTAATATCAGTTGTGCTGAATTCAGAGAGTGGGGGAAGAAACAGAGGTAAGTTGTAACAGATGTTACAGAGATGCCTGCATATTTCAAAATGACTGAGGTTACATTTTAGAAGTGCTAGAATTACTCAGATAATTAGCATGATGTGCCACATCCCAAAGGGTGATCACTCACAGATAATTATCTGCATTTTGTCTGATGATATAGCACTCATTGTACAGGACAGTAATAGTGCAACATTAAGTTAAACATAACTGTAATTATTACCTTATATTTTGCAGCAAGATCCTTCAGTGTATGAAGAACAAAGGAATCCCAATCACTGAGGAAATATTCAGTAGTCTTGTGACAGGCCATGCAAAAGCCGGGTAATGTTAACATACCTGAGATTTTTTTAATCCACCTTTACCTACTTCGTAGAATAATTAACTGATCTGACTACATAAAACTAAAACATATACATGCCACAAAATGTGGGGTGCATATTTGATTGAATACTTGCAAAGGCTCTGTTTTCATGAACATCTCTTTTTCTGGCAATGTGCAGCACCAGGAAAAATGAGAGGGGAAACAGATTGTCCTGAAATTCAGCCTGTTGCTGATAGTGTATAGATGATTATTTTTCAGGTTTGGTCTTGACCAAATTAGTTGTATTTCAAGTCTTCAAAATATACGCGACTTTCCTAAATTGTATGAATACAGGAAGTTTTGCACTTTGATTTCTTTGGTTAAGATGCCTTATCTCTTAAGTGTGCTTCTAATTATGATTTGTATTTTCTGTTTTTATTAACCATCAGAAGTAAAGGTCACTTTTTAGTTTAGACTTTGCCTTTTGATTTATGTAAAAAATTGGAAAAAGAAAATTATGTTCAACATGACAGATTGATTGCAATTAAAACCACTGACAGTTTTCTTTTTAAACATCTGTAGGGATATGGAGAATGCAGAAAATACCATTTCAATCTTAAGAGATGCAGGAGCTGAGCCTGGTCCAAATATCTACTTAGCATTACTGAGTGCATATGCTGAGAAGGGTGACATTAGCAATATCGAAAAGGTATTAAACTGTTCATGCCTAGTAAATCTTTTCCTAATATTCCGGTTTAAATGAGCTATTTCATAACCTGTTTGCTGGTTTACAACTGGTCTTTGGTTAATTTTATATTTGTATTCTTTTTCTTTTCTCTCAAACATACAAGATACCATTTAATATCTTAAAACTTATTGTAGATTGGTAAGCAGTAATTTAAGATTTTTTTTCACTTTAATAATGATATTTTTAATGAGTCCAAACTTTTGCTTTTAAAAGCATTTCGTATTTAATAACATGTTAACACTTTGAAAACTTTATCTTGTGAGGAAATTATGAATAATATTTGTTGATTTTCATTCAGTAACCAAATGTAATTATTTCATGAACAAGGCAAATTATTGTATTCTATTTTAGCTCTATAAAAGGAAAGAGAAACTTTTAGGGCTTTGTCCTTGCTACCATTGAAATAAATGAGATTTTGGCTTTACGGTATTTAGATATAGATATGTAATTTTTTTTTTTAAAGAGCCCAATAGAAAAACTTTTGTGTGTTAAGGAAGGAAGTTGCATGCTAGCTCAGGGACCCACCCATATGTAGCTCCTTCTTCATTATTTACTTAAATATTTCATGTATTAATTTTATGAGAACTCCTTGTGTGTGTGGAAGAGAATAAGGCCACTTGATTTATAACCAGATATTGACATCGGGGGTGGGGGTGAGAGAAAGAAGTCCAGACTGGTTTTGCAGTTTAAATGTACCCCCCCAGATGAACCACAACACATGTCATTACTTTTTGGGCCAGATTCTTCAGTTCTTTTTTCAGTTTAATTTGTGTTGTAAATAACATCTTTTGAAACTAATTATCGTTCCCATTATAAGCTGTTACTCAGTGCATTGATACATGCGCTTAACTGCACAGTAGACTAATTTGCTGCAGTGTAAAGAGTCATCGTCTACATGCGCAATGCTATTACACTGCAGCAAACTAATTTTTGCCACCATAAGATGTCAGGGATAGTACTGTCTTATGGTGGCAAAAATAACTGCACTTAAATGCATGTGTAAATGCTAATCTGGGCATACATTGCATCCAGGCAGCAGGGGACCAGACCCCTGCCTACTGCCAAGCCACAGGGCTCCACATGCTGGGGCACTGTTGTGCCCTAGCCAGCCCCTCCACTGCTCGACACTACCTCCTGGATCCTGGGGCTGATCCCTGCCCCCCCTCACCCCGCTCCCAACCCCTGGCTAGTCCAGGGCTACTCAAACCCCGGTTCAAACTGCTGTGATCCTGAGTGCAGTGTCTATACATGTGCCCTGGACTGCAGCAGTTTGAGCATCTACATGTGCCATTAAGGCGCCATGAGTTTGTCCTGGAGTGTATCATGGTGCCTTAATGTCACATGTAGATACACACACTGTGACTAAGGATGGCAGATCCTGTTGGTTATGTTTTCCTATGTCTTTCTCCTAGTCTGCATTTCTAGTTCTTAGACTGTTCAAGGCATGATCTGTGGCCATGCTTGTCTAGAAAACTCTGGACAAGTTGGAAGCATTACTTCAGCACGATTAAAGAAACCTCTTAGGTTTTTAATCTGTTGTATTTGAATCTGAATGCAGTTTTTTTATTAACAAACATCTTGCTTGGTTGTGGTACTGCTTGCAGCTCCTGAAACAGTTTGAGAAGGTAGACCACTGTCATGTGAGCAGGCACATGATGCAGGTTATTGTAAGCCTTGCTAAAGCTGGATATCCCCAGTATATCCAAGATATTACAAAGCGGTTGGACACTGGACACTTTTCAGGTACTGCTTTTGGTCATGTTTCTAGAATCTGGTAACCATAACTGTACTTTTTATGGAGCCATTTGATAAATTGAATACTCAGGTTTTTGCAGGAGAAAAAGGATTTGCCTTCAAATAAAAATGTGGTTATTTCTATGCTTTGTATCACTGAAGCAAAGTAATGTTTTAGGATATTTTTTTAAACCCCAGCTGTGGATTAGTCTGTCTCATTCTAACCCTGAATATTTTTATTAATTTGAAAATTTAGTATAAAAGTTTTTGATAAATGTAATACCTCATAAGCTTTTACACTTCTTAAGGTTTAGTGCAAATTTAAGTTTGTGGAGTAAATATGACATTCCCCCCCCCCCCCCACAAGGAAAGAGCATTTTGCGTAAGTTTCATTATAGCAGACATGCATGAACATAATGAGAAGAAAGGTTATAGAGGTTTAGAGTTGTAGGCACAGTTAAAGGCCATTTTGAATCTTGATATGTTAAAACCTACTTAACAACACTTCTGCTGCTACTCTTATCAGCCTTTTTCCATTAACCTATCTGAAAGATTTATAATTCACTTGTTACAATGTGGAATGCTTCTGGACTACTATGAAGATGATTGTACTTTGATTATTTATGTCATTGGCTTTTTTGTAGGAAAGAAAAATCTTGTATTGTGGTGTAAACTATTCAGAAAAAAGTAATAGTCTCAAATCTAATTCTTTTGTTGTTAGCCATACAGAAAAGTTATACACCATAGTATATTTGTAGAACATATGTGGCCTTCTTATCAAGGACCATGATGATATATGCATTGTAATTATTAATGTTCTGGTATTATTTCTATTTCTACTTTAATTCCAAAATAGCTTATTCCAAACTATTAATAGCTTTCTTTTAAATCGCCAGATGTCATGAACCTTTGTCTGAACTTGGTAACTCAAGGCTTGGAAGATACAGCTTTCCAGATTTTGAAATTGTGTCCTAAATCACCATCTGGAAATGAAGGAGGTTGTAATGTCTTCTTACAACATTGTGTAGTTCTGAATAAGGTATGCAGAATGTTATTACCTTTTTAGGAGGCTGTATAGTTCTTAAACTTAAAGGAGGTGTGAAAATGTGGAAGCCATACATTTTTATGCATCAGTGTATGTAGCAATGAAATAAATTTAAGATCATTTAAATATTTTCATACCAATTGGCACAGTATGTGGAGTGTTAATCTATAAGCATTTTTCTTTGTTATTTGTAATGAGTGTTTCACAGATCCAAAGGATTTTTAATTGCTAAAATAAGTTTAGAATCTGATAAACACTATATTTTACTCATACTTTATTATAGAAATGTTATTTTTTAATTTATTTCCAGCCCGTGAGCAAGCTGAAACAGTTTTGTACTGAGTTAAAAGAAGCCAATATTCATTCAATGCCTTTTGAGTTTACACTGTGGTGTGCTTTGAAGAAGAATAAAGCAGGTACTCTTGTCTGCATGTTTTAAATATTGATTTAAATTGCTTTGTCATTGTTGTAGTCAAATTGCTTTATATATTGTTTCAGGTATGGCAACTGATCTAATGAAAATCATGAAAGAATATGGCTTGCCCATCAGATGTCACTATTTCTGGCCACTGCTTGTTAGGTACCAGCAAGAGAAGAATGTTGAAGGTTAGCTTTTGGATCCATGTTTTTGTTTCCTATTCAAACACTAATTCACAGATCTACATTAAAATCCTGTTTTCAGGTTTAGAGGAGTGCTTTAATACAAATGGAGACCTGGTGGTATGTGATTCTTACCATCACATACTTATACAATTTATTCAGAAGTGCTTTCACCACCATTTTTCTTTAAGTGTGCCACGGTCCTATTAGCTTAAATATAGAATTTCTTTCTGAATAGAAAGTGGAGTGGTAAAGTTTGAATTGGGTATTTAACTCTTTGGCTTCCTCCTGGCTTCAGGAAGATTTTCAATTTGCTGCTTTATATCTGGTAATGTAGCTCAAGAACTGATACTCTGGAAGAAACCTAGACTCTTGGAAGTTTTTAAAAAATTAAGCCTACATTGTACTGCCTTGTTAGCACTGCTGAAAAACTAAATCTCTTTCTTTTGATCAACTTCTTATTTGTGCTCTCTGGTAAGCTTAAATGTGAGCTTAGTTGTAGCAGTAAAAAAAAGGCAGGAAAACTTCCATTGCTGAATGAGTGATCTTGACCTGACAGCATGCTGATTGAAGGACAGAAATGTTCAGTCTTTTGGATTCTTAAGTAGGCTTTAGGCATTTAGCATGCTTTCCCCTGTTACACATGGGGATGTCTATATGGTGTGAATAAGAAGTGAAAAAATATTAAATTTTAGAGTACAGAATCTAATTCTTTGGTTTGAGTTATTGGTAATTCAGAAAGAATGGTATCATAAAAAGATGCTTTTAACAGAAGTACTTCCCCCTAGGGGAAACAAAACACTGTCTTTTTCATCTTATCTCACAGTATAATGTGCTTTAGAATGAGATGCAGAGTTGTTAGTGTGACATTGGGTGACAAACAAAATGCACAAACAAAAAAAAAAAGTGCTTTTAGCAGACTGCTCATATTGCAATTTTATCTTAAATATACAGTCACATTCCAGTTTGGAAGAAATGCTGAAACAAGTATTCCCTAATTGTTTCTGGCTATAAAAATGTCTCAGTGCTTTTCAGAAAAGTCTTTATGAAAACAATATTCAGTTTTTATTAACTCTTTACACCCATGTTCGTGTGAAGGAACTCTGCAACTCTGTTGTCTTCCTATACATACTTCCTGAATACCATGAAGTTTTTAAGATAGTTTAAAAATACTCTTACAGCACTGTTTTAATGAGTTCTTAAATAATTCTGGTCCCTTTGGTTTGTATACACTCAATATTTCTGCTCTCTGTTGAAGATATTCATTTGTACAGAAGTAAAGTATATGCTATCAAACTCTAAATTCTGCTTAATGTTTGTAATTTAAATTTTGTCCTTACCTACTACATAGATAATAACAAAATGACAAAGTCAGCTTGCGTGTACTTTTAGAGGTGTTGGATGCCTGTACCTATTTTTTGCTTTAAAAAAAAGGGGTGCCGGGGGTGGGGAGTTCTCTCCTGTCGTATCTACTATCTCTCCTAGGGACAGAGCTTGACATAATTTGGAACTCCACTGTAGAAAAATGTACTACGTTTACTTGACTGTTAGCAAGAACTATTAGTAAACCTCAGAACAGAAATAAGAATAGTTTAAAGAGAAAACTTAACACTGGAGAATTTTTGCTGGTGAAGGCATCAGGAATATAATTTTGTTCAGTTTCATAGCAGTTTTGTGGGTCCACTAATGTAAGTTACAAATCAAAACCATCATTCAGTCCTTTACAATGAGTTTTTTTTAAGCAGGAAAGTTTCTGCTATGTATTAACCTAGAAGAGTCAATAATATTACAACTCTTCAAATTAAAAGAAGGCTTCTAAGCATTCCTTTCATCACTGAATAATCAATATAAGTATGCTTGCTGTAGGCAGATTGAATAAATGTTCTTTCTCTTCATCAAATAAAACTTTGCTTGCATTCATATTTGACATATCTGAAAATAACAAAATGAGATCTGACAAATAAAAATGCAAGCAAATCTGAAGGAAAAATAATCAGGAGAAAACAGGGATCTTTGTTTTGATAGAGGTAATGGGGGGGAAAAAGTAGTGGAAAGAAAAACATTGAGGTGAAAGTAGATAGTAAATTAGAAGAGTGCTCAATGCTTTATGGCAGTAAAAAATTATAGGGCTATGTCAGTAAAGGTACACACACAATTGCATCTCCGATTACAGACTTGATAATAGTTCCTTTTTCCTCATGACATACTGCACATAGTTGGAGGGGGGCCATCTCAGCAGGGAAAGTGATGACAAATTGAAGAATTTGCCAAAGAGGAAAAAAATGAAAAAGATGTGCTTTTGGAGTAAGGTTGAAGGTTAAATAGCTTTTGAGGGGAAGAAGGTATGTATAGCAGGCAACCAATATTTGAAAGGTGTCAAAGAGATAAGAATTACATGTACCACAGCTTGGTGGGAGTTTGTTACTAATATTTACAGTAATGGAAATAGAGAAAAGTTTTTTCTAACAGTGACCTCATTCTGTTGCCCCAAGGAAAGTCAGAACATGAAGGATTGCTTTAAATCAGTAAATATAAACCTTTGAATTTTAAATGATCATTTAAAATCCATTTATGCTTGCATTTTTTCCAGAAAGGGTGCATTTTTACTGGTTTACATGATTGGTAAAACGTACATATTTACTACTAAATAGCGTTTTATATAGACTCTATTTAGAGGTTACATGATAACAATATGTATTTATTTAAACAATTGTACATCTTCATATTCACTTAAGTTCAATAAATACATTTTATATGCTGCTGAGTGTGAATATTAACAGCCTCATATTTTTGAATACATAAACTTTCTGTTATCAAAATTCTAAATATGCATAAACGTAAGTGACTAGAATTTAAGTTCCTGCTTGCCCAAACCTTTGAAAATGAGACTGTCTCCTAAGTTACTCAGTCCATCCTTCAGTCTTAAAACTAATACATCTCATCACTCTTTCTTTTCTTTTATGTTCCTGGGCTAAAGAGAAAGACAAGCTTCCTTATTTTTTCAGTTGCTAATTGATTTCCTACCTTTGAATGTTTTAGTCCAAATTAAGACAATATTCTTTATGACTTGTAGAAAAGAACAATAGCTGTCAAAAGCAGGTTTGCCATTTTAATAAGTTCTGGTTATTGGTGTTTAGAATGCCTGTGATGACTTTCCCAGTCTCTTGCCCACAGTGGTATAGTTGCTGGGTTCCCCAAAGGATTATAACCTATTGTGCCATGTTGATAAACCTGGATTTCAAATTTAGATACCTCTTTCCTTATTTGTTCTTTACATAGAAAAGTACCTAGCTGGTAACGCACAGTTTTTTGATAGAGGTTCATTGGTTCAGTGTATTTATTTTTTATTTAAATGTTTTAAGAAATTATAATGCTTGTGCCGTAATATCTTTTATACTAATTTTAGATTTCATTTTAAATGGGTTGCTTTTAAAAGAAGAAAAAAAGGCAAAATATTATTCATTTTAATTTTTAGTGTCTGTTTTTATCAACCCTGAGTGAGGAGCACCTCACTCCTTCAATTATACAAAACCAGACTGGGCAAATGTTTGAATACTCTGTACAGAACTATCTGTATGAAAAGAGTGAGAAGCTGATTTTCATGATTTCATGCATTGAACCTCTTAATAAGATGTTTGTATTTTATGTGCAGATAAATCAAAATGAGCATGCATGTTACACTCCAGTTTCTATTGTAATATTCTATATTGATGTAAATGCAGAATTAGACTTTTAGGAAGGGGAATGTGCTTCAAAAGTTTAAAGAACATTAAAATTTTAGCCCAATACATTTCAAAGGTGTTGAAATTCATTGTTTTAGTAGATGAAATAGACAAGTGTAAGCTAGTTTTCATGATATGTCATGGTTGGATTTAAATTGCATTGGTACTTCGTAACATGCATAGTCTAGTAAGCTTTTGCCTAACATCATTAAATCTTTCTAAAACCAATTTTAAAAAAATCTTCACACTTCTATTTCTGCTAAAATCAGTTGGCATAAACTACTAATAATAATAAAGTACAGCCTACAAATTTCCTTTTGCTAGTAAAAAATATTTTCAATTTTTCTGATGCCCCATTATAAAAAAAAAAAAAAAAAAATACAGCCCACAAATTTCCTTTTGCTAGTAAAAAAAATTTTCAATTTTTCTGATGCCCCATTTTAAAAAAAAAAAAAAATACAGCCCACAAATTTCCTTTTGCTAGTAAAAAAAATTTTCAATTTTTCTGATGCCCCATTTTAAAAAAAAAAAAAAAAAAATCACTAGCAGATGATCTTTCCATAGGGTGATCGTTAGTGGTGGTACATGGGAAAATTTGATTATAATATAAAAAGAGTTAACAAATATTTTTTGTATGCAGACTTCTCCAACAGAAATGTTTTCAATGTGTTAAAACTTACATTCACTTTTCAAACCAGGAATTTAAGGAATGTTTCAGCTTCATGATGATTTAGGTATTGGTGTCATACCCTTTTTAGGCTTACAGCATTCCCCAACAACTTTTCTGATTTAGTGGCACCCCATGACCCAGCAGGCATGTGCAGGGGTACATTGAAGAACAGCTGCAGCAGGAGGAGGCACTTCTGTCTGCATTAGGTTTATCTGATAAATCTAGTGCAGGCAAGTATACCCCTGCCCTTCTCTCAAGAGTGGTGTGGTACTGCTACAGCCAGATAAAACTGTTCCACTCGTCTGCTTCCAGGAGGTACATGTGGGGCTGGACTGGGAAATGGCTGTGTCAGGAAAGTGTAGATAAACAGGCTGGCGCACCCCTGCCTGTAGCATCCTGTATGCTGTTACATGTAGCTTTCAGGCAGAGCAGAGCTAGTGCATTTGGTCATGCACCCTGAGCCAACCACTTTAACTTTTGCCACCGGTTTTAGCTGAGGACCCGCTGTTCAGGGTCCTAACCTTTGTTGCAGCCAAGTTGGTCTATAGCACCACAAGGCCACCCTGGGTTTGTAAGAAATGAAAAGTAAAACAAAGTTCAACAAATAAACTGCC